ATCTTTCAGAGATGTTATTGTGGATCTATGCTGAGCAAGGGATTGGAATTGATGAACCCCTAGGGTTCCTCTTGTTATTCCCCCCCTTATGGAGAAAATGAAAATGAAGACTTTGACTATGCCCAGAGGCACATTGTACCTGCTAAAAAAGGATGCAGTTGCAGCCACTTTTTTTTTCTCAGATTTATTTCTGACTTTACCACAAACTTGTCTACTGCTGAACTTAGGTAAACCTATCCTAAAGAAAGATTGAATTACAGGGCTGCTTGCTTATCTTTGTGGAAGTTTCCTTATTCCCCAGATCATTATTGCCCAACGATATTGTACACCTCTGTTGAGAAATTTTCATTGCATAAAGTAAAACTTACAAATATAGAAATGTATGCTTACTATTTTTAGATAATTCTGCCACAGCGAGGACTGATAACTTGAGCGTGTCAGCTGAATTAAAATTTTGCTTCTCTTCTTTCCCTCTTCACCCAGTAATTTGTATGCAGTCTTAAATCTTTTTGCCCTTGATGGGTTTACAGTTTTTCATTATTTTATTTTATCCTTTCACCCACAGTGTCTTTATTTGATTGGTTTGCCCAGTTGCCTAATGGCACTGATGCGGACTTTGTTCAAAGTCTTGGCCACAGCTGGAATGAGGGAATGGTGATGACCCTGAATTGAATTGTCCCTGTGCAGACTCTTTCTCTCCATGAATCCTTGGTTTTCAGAAGAACTCTGAGAGATGAAGAGATGCTTAGAGTGCTGGAAGGCAAATCTGATTGACCATGAGTAAGAACCTTTCTTAAGAGTTACCTTGTAATGATAAGAGTGGCAAATCATAACGAGTCTTCTGTTCTTATTGTATGTGTAAATAATTATCTGGGGCTCTGTTTAAGATGACTTGGTAATTCCTCAGGAAGAATGGGCTGGAAGAACATCTATATTGTTGCTATATTATGACTGCTCTAGGAATCAGTCAGATAAAGTCACTCAGTTCTGTTCTGAGCTGGATTTTGGATGTGCAAATCCCATAGGCATGTTCTAGCATAGTTATCTGGAATGAGTTCAAGCCTGTTGGCCTTGAGGAAGTGGATATGGTCCTTTAGGCTGTGAGCATGGCCACCTGCATATTAGATCCATGCTTCTGGTTGGGCAATGCCTCCCAGGAGAAAGCATGTGGGAGGATCAAGATGGTGGTGAATGCTTCTGTGAGACGGGGGGGGGGGATTCTCCTGGACTTAAAAGGCAGTGATCTGTCTCCTCTACAAAAAGCCATTCTTGGATTCAGTGGGATTGAATAATTATACTCCAGAGGGCCCTGAAGGAAATGAATTATCTGAATTCTTTTCAATAAGGTTTCAGACTGGGATACAATATCAAAGTGGCATTAATTAGACTTGTATATTATGTTTGGTGGTACCAAGTTGGAATGGTGCGTCTATCTTGTCCTTTCTTGATCTCTCAGCAACTGTTAATACTGTTGATCATAGTATTCGTCCAAAGTGGTTTTGGGAATTAAGAATTGGAGGTATGTGTTATAGTGATTCTCCTCCTTCCTTCATGGGTGGTTCAAGCTGTGTTGGTAAAGGAGGAGGAGAACCTTGTTTTGTGGAATTGCTCAGATCTCTACAGTCTCTCATTCCTATCCAACATCTTTATGATACTACTGAGGGAGATCATTTGTAATAATATTATTAAAAGGCTATGATTAAAAGACTAAGAGAAAACATTAAATGTTAATATACCACCTCATTCAATCGCCATTTCCCTAAGACACCCCCCCCCAAGCCTGTTGATACACAGGTTTTGAAGCTTCTGGAAGGACGTCAAGTATGTCAAAGAGGGTGGCCATGGCTTTACAATCAAAGTCTGTCCTTTTTTATGTGTGCAATAAACATTCAAAAATGGTGGGCCTTTGATTACCCAATTGTGCTTATCTCATTGACTTTTTAAACTCTCCATGTGGATGCCCCTGAATCACATCCTGCAGTCCTATATTTGCTGTACAAGTTATTAGACATGCATCCTGATTCACCCTGATGCCTCCTGGAATGCATCTTATTCTTCTGTTCTGAAACTTTCTAATTCTCCAAATTCATGACCTTGTTCATTGTAAAGATTGCTCATGGTTTTGCCACAACTATGAACCTTAATACAGGTTGTCCTCAACTCACAACTGTTCGTTCAGTGACCGTTTGACGTCACAACAGCACTGAAAAAAGTGACTTATGACCGTTTTTCACACTTGCGACCGTTGTAGCATCCCCATGGTCACATGATCAAAATTTGGATGCTTGGTAACTGGTTCATATCTATGATGGTTTCAGTGTCCCAGGGTCATGTGATCACCTTTAAAACCTTCTGACAAGCAAAGTCAATGGGGAAGCCAGATTTAATTAACAACCATGTTACTAATTTAACAACTGCAGTGATTCACTTAACAACTGTGGCAAGGAAAGTCATAAAATGGGGCAAAACTCACTTAATAAATGTCTTACTAGCGACATAAATGGTCGTAAGTCGAGGACCATTCATATTCTAGCATGACCTATGCAATCAGATACCTTACTGAATCATTTCATGGGAATATTTCCCTTGTCTTCTTTTGCTCTTTTCATTACCCATCTTATCTTACCTACCTGATTTTTATGCCTCTTTGCCTTTTCTAAAGCCTGTTTGTTCATCTGGCATTTTTATTTCTACTTTTTTTGTAAGGTTTAAACATAACTGCAGGATGTTCTTTTGCATCTTCCTCCTTTAATAGCAATATATATACACCAATCTTTCCCAGTTTTGAAGTTCTGTAGTTTTGCTCCACCTTTGTTGACATAAAGCTGAGAACTTTATTTATTTATGTGTCAAATTTATATAGCCACCCACCTCACAAAGCAAGTGACTCTGGGCAGCATGCAGCAAAGATTTTCTTCATCTTTAAACAATTCAGTGGGCATTTTATCTTCGCAAGATGCTTTCACATGACTCGTTGACTTTGTTATGTGGGGGAAAGATTCCAAGTTCCTCTATTTCTCCGACTTTTTAATTCCAAACACACAAAATGAGATCTTAGCAAAAAGGTGTTTGCAAATAATGTAATTTGTGTGGATGCATGATAATTACACAAATGATGAAAATCACATCATGTGCACAATGATGTCATTCTGCAAATGAGGCAATTGCTATTTCACTCGTATAATTGCATCAGTATGAAAATGATACTATTTGCATAATGACATCAGCACACAAAATGGCATAAATACTTTCTTATTAAACAACCTTCACAAGTTATATTCCCCAAATACTCCATGAAAATGCTACAAATTCTTTTTTTGTGTTGCAATTCTTGTCATTTTCCTCAGTGTCTTTTTTCCACTGGATTTGTAACAGTGCATATACTTGCGTAACACAGATGTTGAATGGATACCCATTAAAAACAATAGATATTATGATATTGTTTGTTGGTCTATAACTAAGCACATACTTACTGGCTTTTTGAATATCATTCACATGCCATTTCCTTCTATGTTTTCATTAGCTGAATAATACATCGTGTAATCATCTGATTTAAGTTGGCTATGCCGGTTCAATTAAGTTTATTTATTCGTAAACCACCCATTGTAATATGCTTCATTTCCTCTTTGAAAATTTCTAGTTTTTCTTGGATCATGTTTCTCACACTCTGCATCCTAGATAAATATATTTGTACAAAATGGAAAAACTCCTCTTTCACTGCTTGCAATATTAGTGAGTAGATTTCTTTGTGGCTTTGATCGGGTTGTATCACCCAGAAGCCCCTGGTGAATGTTCTGCCACAGTAAACAATAATGCTTCCAACTTATATATAAATCCATGTATATGGCGAAAATAATTTATATTCCCTAAAATGAATTTGGGGAACAGGGTATCCCATGATCTGGTATCCAAATGTATGTTATTTTTTAGCCATGCTGACAGCTAGTCCGCACGTTACAATCATAATGGAGTCTGCCCATCACAGTCTTAACACTTGTAAATTGGTTGGTCAGATGATCGACCTGATTATTTTTCCAGACATCGTTAAACAAATGAGATGGTCGTTAAGAAAATGTGATGGCTGTTAAGTGAATCCATGGATTGCCATGGCACACATTTTTGCCAAAAACTAGTTCTTGGCAAAACCATCATAAAAAATACTCATGTCATCACTGGATGCTGCAAGAGGCCATAAATGTGGCCATATTGCTGATTGCCAGAAGGGCAGTCACATGACTACAGGGGGTAGAGCAGTAATGGCGAACCTATGGCACATATGCCAGAGGCGGCACTCAGAACCTTCTCTTGAGCATGCGCGCCATCGCCCCAGCCCCGCCTCCCCCCACAGCCCCCTCCTCACCAGCAGTCCCCCGAGAGGAGAGTCCCCCTGGGTGCAGCCCATGCAGAGCAACATAGCCAAGGACATGGCAGTCGGGCAGCGGGAACAAGATTCCTCCCTCGTGCTCCGTCACGCGCAGATGATGCTGCGGGGTGCGGGCGGAGGGCATGGCCACCATGGTGCTGCTGGGCCGCCTGAGCAATCTGCTGCAGTGGGCAGTGGAGGCAGTGGGTGGCCCTGCGGGTGGGGTGATGTTTGGGCACTCGGTCTCTAAAAGGTTCACCATCACTGGAGTAGAGGGTGACCATCAGAACTTGGGATCCCAGTCACCCCCTTTTTCGAGTGGGTTATAAGTTCAAACAGTTGCTAAGCGACTGGTCATAGGTCAAGGCCTACCTGTATACAGTTTTCTTGGTGTCGCCACAAAAAATGTTTGTTGCTGCCTTTTCCGGGTTTGATTTTGATATTCGTCTTCCTAGTGTAGAAATAGGCAACTTTGGCTCTTTTATGGCTCAGGAATTCTGGGAGTTGTAGTCCACGAGTCATAAAAGAGCCAAGGAAGCCTACCCTTGTCCTGGTGCATCAGTTTCCTGCATAATATGCAAATTTTATGTACTCACAGAAAATACCCTGGCCCTCATCGTGCAGGGCTGCTCTTGTGGTCTAACAGTTTATTTGATCAAAATGCTCACGCCACAACCAGTGTAAAAATGGCAGTTCTGGGCATCTGAAAGGCATAAATGAAACAAAGGCTGCTCTAAATATGAGAACACTAGAACAGAACCCGTGTATTAGTATGATGTCAGGTAAAAGATGGACATGAATCGAAAAGAGTAAAGGGCAGATTTCATCCTGATACTCAGTTTTGCACCTGCTACTGTTCCTCTCTCTTTCACTGTGTACACCCCAGCACAGAGATAGAAGCCCTTGTCATTCGCCTGAAGATTTGACAAATTCAAATACATTTTCCGCCTAGATGTATCTGAATTGTCTGAGATCCTTCCATTCAGCCGATCCTTCAAATCATTTGGAATATCTTCGAGTGTTGTACTGTGACTGTAGAGAGACCCAAGGACTTCAAGCTCTGTCTTCCCAGGCACTTGGCGATACCAATAGAAATTATAGCCTTTGTCAACAGAGCAATAGAAGTTAACATTTGCCCCAGCCAAGCTATTGACAAAGCTTGGAGTCTGGATCACATTCTGGGCAGAGCCACTGCCCACAAAGGCTGAAGAAGGAGAAAGAAAAAGGCAATATTAGCTGGGGATTCTAAAGGGGAGCCCAGGAAACTGTGGAGGAATAAGGTCAAGGGAAGACAACGAAATCTGGAGAGAAATGGGGCTCTGATAAAGGAAGGGGTCCAGGCCCCTTTCAGGGCACTTACTGCACCAGAAGGCCAGGAAGGCATGGAAGAAGCGGAGTCCAGGGAGCCCAGAACAGGAGTGAAGCGGTGCTGCATCCATCTCAGCCTGGGGCTGCTACTGCAGCAGCTGGGAAGAGATCAGAAGCTGCATGGTTTCCGGTCACGTGCTGGCAATGTGGCTGCAAGAACTGCCTGGCCTGGGCCAGGTGGAGGGAAGTGGATGCCCAGACCCTCTTCAGGCCTTTGCTCCTGAGTTCAGGCAGGAAAGAAGTGCAGTGGCTGGGCAGAAATGGGGGGGACCTATTTGCTCTCTCTCTCTCTCTCTCTCTCTCTCTCTCTCTCTCTCTCTCTCTCTCTCTCTCTCTCTCTCTCTCTCTCTCTCTCTCTCTCCCTCCCTCTCCCTTCCTCCCTCTCCCTCTCCCTGTCTCTCTCCCTCCTCTCCCTGTCTCTCTCCTCCCTCCCTCCCTCTCTGGAGGGTTTCTGCTGCTTGGAAAAAGAGAGGAGAGCTGGTTGGAGAGGAGCTGGTTTCCTACATCTGCTGGCGGGGCTGTAATTTTAAGGGCAAAGTCATTCATACTTTCAGTTGTTCCTTCAAACGTGATGGCTCTATATAGCCAGCCAAAAGCCACTCTATGATTTTATTTGGCTTTGAAGGTAGTTCCAAATGCCCTTATTTTAAGCATTTTTTCCATAGGTGTCAATAACTATGTTTCTAGATCTTAACGGTTGCAAAAATAACGTTAGAGATGTACAAGTGATGTCAGTGAAATCTCAGAAGAGTTTGGAGGGTCAGAGAGATTTCAGCCTATAATAAGATAGTCCTAATGTTTGTTCCTCTCCAGGACTCCCAAAAACCATTCTTTGGGTGTGTGAAGGGGAGCAGCAGCCTCAGAAAGGTGGTTATGATTGAGAGATTGAAGCTCTTTTTGATACCTGCAAAATATGCAGATTAAAAGGGGGCAGGACTTCAATCGCCAGGTTGCATCCACCATTTTGACACTGCTGCAGACATCCTTGTTGGTTCAGATTTCAAAGTATAAAACTTTTTTAGTACCAGTGTTTTGTCAGAAGTGCATCACCTTCCATCTGAGAAATCTAAATGTCTTTCACTGCTTACAATATTTGTGAGCGCATTTCTTTGTGGCTTTGATGGGACTACATCAACCACAAACCCTTTTGTGAAAGATAATGTTCTGCCACAGTAAATAGGAATGCTTCCAACTTATATATAAATCTGTGTATGGTGAAAAAAAATTATATTCCCCAAAATGAACTTGAGGAAGGGGGCTTTATCCCATTATCTTTCATACCAATTTATCTTATTTTTCACCCATGTTTACACACTTTTCTTGGTGACAGTACAAAAAAGGTTTGCAGCTAGCTTTTCCAGGCTTGATTTTGGAGTTCCTTATCCAAGTGCATTGGCTTCCCTCATAGTTGAAAATCTCTGCCGCTTTCCCTCCCATTGTGAATTATCTTTTAGCTTCATTTGTTTTCTTTCCAATTTGACCATATACAGCTGCACCAGCTGGCATCACCCCACCATGGTGGCGCAGTGGTTAGAATGCAGTATCGCAGGCTAATTCTGCCGGCTGCCAGCAGTTCGGCAGTTCAATTCTCACTTAAGGTTGACTCAGCCTTCCATCCTTCCAAGGTCAGTAAAATGAGGACCCAGAATGTTGGGGGCAACATGTGGATTCCATAAACAGTTCAGACAGGGCTATAAAGCACTATAAAGTGGTCTATAAGTCTAAGTACTATTGTTATTACTCTCAGTGCCATTGATGCTACTGAGTTGTCTCATGTCAAGATGATGATACTGTGGAAGGACATCTAGGGTAGCTATGCCTTTGGGTTATTTTAATCTTTGTGTTAAAAAAAGACAGAGGAATAAATCAGTTTTATTTGATATTTGTGTCTGTGCCTTTATTTAATTAAAAAAAGGAAAGCAATTCAGTTTCTACATTTTAAAATGCTATATGGCACCCATCCTGTTGCTTTTCCAAAAGACCCTAAAATATGGTTGGTTGTCAGAGCTGGAGACCAGGAGGAAGATGGACCCAATCAAGTGGCTGATTTGTGTTGCTTCTGCCAAAGGATGGTGTGGTGGGTTTTTAAATGGGTGTTTATTATACAGTGGATTATTTCAATGTTGTTAACTCCCCAAGTCATCTAAATGTAAGTTGGGTGGCTGTAATAATTTGTTTAATAAATACATGTGTGTTTAATTTATGTATACAGTAGGTGTTACACATATAAGTATGCAAATGAATATACTGTCATGTTTCCTTTTAAAGAAATCTACTGTAAGCTAGGCAATGGAGAAGAACAGGAAATGTGGAAAAATGGCACTCAGCCTATTCAGGTTTTCTCATCCCTCCTCCCCCCCCCCCCAACTACAGTATCAAGATGATGTCCTAGTAGAGATGATGCTTCAGCTGCCTTGGGTTCTACAGTTTATTGCTGTAGATAGCTGTAGTTAGTAGAAAGAAAATGATGTTGGGTAAAGCAAGTAAATTACCCTCCTCCCAGATCCATGCTGGTGGTAAACCATAAAATATTTAGACACAAAGAATGTGAGTTAAGAGCACTAAGAGACTGAGAAAAGCACTGAGAAGGTCACTGGGAGAAAATACTTAGAGAAGGTTACCTTAATAGTAACACTAACTCAAAGGACAGAGCCCTTGTTTAATGCTATATCCATTGTCTTTGTAATGCCACCTTTATCATCCTAGTATCCGTATCTCATAAACATACCTATTAATCAATTACCGGTTGTATTAATAATATGTGCATTTGCAACCCTAAAATAGGGTTGCAACCCCATTCCTTTTCAGATTAGCCTTGCCACCTCTGGTACTGCAATAAACAGTTTGTGTTTCAAAGAAAGAGTGTGTCTGATCCCCATTATTAAAGAAGTTTATGGAGGAATTTCTCTTACACAGTCAATTAAGTATACACTTTTACTTCAGTTGATATCCCCCAAATTGTGATTGGGGATTAAGATTGATTTTGAGGGAACTCTGAAAATTTAACTGTGCTGCTTGCCCAGAGCAGCAGGGTAGCAAACTTGAATTGAAAACCAAGCCCATAACTGCTGTTGCTACTGCTAAAGAGAACAAAGAGGCATGGGATGTCAGATTCAAGGGCCTGGATCCCTGAAACAATGGCTTTCATGAATGTTAGTGACTTTTATCTAGAAGTTTAGGACTTTTCAACATTAATGCTTTTTCCTGAAATCAAGCAGATGCTGAATCTGAACTTGATATGTTGAGTAGCCCATCCCTTCTCTTTTCTACCTACAAAACCCCTGACTTGGACCACCAAATCTGCGTCCTTGCTTCAGACCCTCAACTTCTTTCTGATCCAGATACTCATTTGATAACTTCATTGTGACTATGATTTCTGGGATTCTTGGGCTATTGCTTGGGGTTTGATTGAGAGGCACCAAGAACTGCTTTAGCTCAAACACTAGGAGCCAGTGCTCAGATCTGTCACATTTTTGTTTATTGGCTGAAGGCTTGCTTCTATATTCCTGTCCAAAGTGCACTGTCAATCGATTTCATGTGATGACTCTGAAATGAAAGATGACAAGGGGTGCAAACTCAGTGTAATGCTGAGCTATACAAATGAGTGCCTTAGTGCCTGAACCAAATGATATCTCCTTAGTGGTCCATCTGTTTTCTCATAGAAGGTGAAGGAAGATGCACCATTTCTTTATAAGAAAAAGTGAGGTTAGGAGACATGACCACAGTGCATAAAGTCATCCATGAAATAGACAAAGTAGACAGGAAGAAGGATTTTTCTTCTCTCAGAGATTTCAGACCAGGCGTTAGCCAATGTAACTGCTTAAAAAGTAATTTAAAATAGAAAGGAGGTACTTCTGTACATGGTAGAATACTAAGTTGTAGTAGTGACTACTTATTTGAGGGCTTTAAAAGTGGACTGAAGGATTTGTCTATTAAGATGTTAGATTTACATCTTATCTTTCTTCCAGGAGCTTAGGCTCACTCCATTCTGTAAGCTTTCTCCACAACAACCCTTTTGGATAGGCTGGGCTGAAAGGCTCAAAGTCACCAGGGGAGCTTCCATGGTTGAGGGTGGATATGAATTTGGCTTTTTCTGGTTCTAGTCCAACCTCTCAACCATTTTACCAGACAGATTTGTTGTGTGAAGAAGAGCACCATCAAAAAGATAGATAACATTGAGAAATTGAAGCTGCTTCTCTTTTTGATATGTGCAAAATATGCACATTAAAAGGGGGAAGGATTTCAATTGCTGGGTTGCATCCACCAATTTTGACACTGCTGACTCCCATCTGTGGAGTATCCCTTGTGTATCTATGCTTATTTTCAGCAATTATTTCAGATTTCAAAGGAGAGAACTTTTTGGTAACCGTGTTTTGTCAAAAGTGCATCGCTTTCCACCTGTGAAATCTAAATGTCTTTCAATGCTTACAGTATTTGTGAGCACATTTCTTTGTGGCTTCGATCGGACTACATCACCCATAACCCTTTGTGAAAGCTAATGTTGTGCCACAGTAAATAGGGATGCTTCCAACTTATATATAAATCATTGTACAGTGAAAATTATATTCTCCAAAATGAACTTGGGGGAAAGGGCGTGGTCCCATTGTCTTTCATCCCAATTCATCTTATTTTTTTACCCATGTTTATACACTTTTCTTGGTGACAATACAAAACAGGTTGCCTTTTTCTGGTTTTAGTCAAACCTCTCAACCATTTTACCAGACAGACTCTACTGTCCTTTGTAAAGCAATGTTATCTCTAGGTTAGGGGCACCAAGTCTTCAAGTTCCAATTACAGGAAAAGAACTATATCCTTTCTTCGCCAGCAGCATGAAGAGAACTGAAATGCTGGCCTACAACAGTCTGGCCCTCATTGTGCAAGTCTTGCAATTTATTAGATCAAAAGGGTTATCCCACAGCCCATGTAAAGAATGCAGTTCTGGGCATTTGAAAGGCACAAATTGACCAAAGACTGTTTTAAATATGAGATGACTAGAATGTAGAAAAGGGTTACTTATGGATGTTAGGTAAAAGCTGGATATGAATAGAAAAGAGTAAAGGGCAGATTTGTTCCTCATATTCAGTTTTGCACCTGGCACTATTTCTTTCTTTTTCACCGTGTACACGACAGCACAGAGATAGAAGCCGGTGTCACTCTCCTGAAGATTTAACAGTTCTAAACTCATTTCCCACTTAGGCGGGTTTGTACTCTTTGACCGTTCTACTTTCAGTCGATCCCTCAATTTCTCTGGAGATGCTTCAATATTTTTACTGTGAGTGTAGAGAGACCCAAGTACTTCAAGCTCTACCTTCCCAGGCAGTTGGCGATACCAAAAGAAATTATAGTCTGTGCCATCAACTGAGCAGTGGAAGATAATATTTTTCCCGGTTGAGCCATTGACAAAGCTTGGAATCTGGATTACTGTCAGGGCAGAGCCACTGCCCACAAATGCTGAAGAAAGAGAAAGAAAAAGGCAAAATCAATTGGGGAGCCTAGAGAGCAGCCCAGGAGACTCTGGAAAAATTAGGTCAAGGGAGGACAGTGAAATATGGAGGGAAATGGGGCTCTGATGAAGGAAGGGGTTCAGGCCCCTTTCAGGACACTTACTGCACCAGAAGGCCAGGAGGGCATGGAAGAAGTGGAGTCCAGGGAGCCCAGAGCAGGAGTGGAGAGGTGCTGCAGCCATCTCAGCCTGGGACTGCTACTGCAGCAGCTGGGAAGAGATCAGAAGCTGCTGGGTTTCCGGTCACGTGCTGGCAATGTGGCTGCAAGGGCGGAATGGCCTGGGCCCTGGTGGTGGGAACCGGATGCTCAGACACCCTTTAAACCTTTGCTTCTGAGCTCACAAAGGAAAAAGAGCAGGACCTGGGCAGAAATGGGGCTCCCGCTTGCCTTCTGTGTGTGTGTGTGTGTGTGTGTGTGTGTGTGTGTGTGTGTGTGTGTGTGTGTGTGTGGAGGGTTTCTGCTGCTTAGAAATAGAAGCTGCCGGAAAGGGGCTGGTTTGCTGCACCTGCTGGCTTGGTATAAATACTTTTAAGGGCAAAGTCATTCATACTTTCAGTTGTTTCTTCAAAAGTGATGGCTCTATATACGCAGCCAAAAGCCATTGGCTGATTTCAATTGACTTTGAATGCAGCTCTAAATGCCCTTATCCTGGAGCATTTTTGCCTATCAGTAACTATGTTTCTAGTTCTTAAGGCTAAATAAGGTTGGAGATGTACAAGTGATGGCTGCAAAATCTCAGAAGAGTTTGGAGGGTCAGAGAGATTTTAGCCTATATAGGAAAGTCCTAATGTTTGTTCCTTTCTAGGACTCCTCAAAACCAGACTCCTGTTGTGTGAAGGAGAGCACCATCAAAAAAGTAGATAACTTTGAGAAATTGAAGCTGCTTCTCTTTTTGATACGTGCAGAATATGCACATAAAAAGGGGAAAGGATTTCAATTGCTGGTTTGCATCTAACATTTTGAGACTGCTGGCTCCCATTTGTGGATACCCTTGTGTATCTGTGCTTATTTTCAGCAATTATTTCAGATTTCAAAGTACAGAACTTTTTGACAGTTTTTGTCAGAAGTGCATCGCTTTTCACCTGTGAACTCTAAATGTCTTTTAATGCTTACAATATTTCTTTGTGGCTTTGATGGGACTAGATCACCCATAACCCCTTGTGAAAGATAATGTTGTGCCACAGTAAATAGGAATGCTCCCAACTTATATATAAATCAATGTACAGTGAAAATAATTTATATTCCCCAAAATGAACTGGGGGAAAGGGCGTGGTCCCATTGTCTTTCATCCCAATTCATCTTATTTTTTTTGCCCATTTCTATACACTTTTCTTGGTGACAGTACAAAAAGGGTTGCCTTTTTCTGGTTTTAATCAGACCTCTCAACCATTTTACCAGACAGACTCTATTGTCCTTTGTAAAGCAATGTTACCTCTAGGTTAGGGGCACCAAGTCTTCAAGTTTCAGTTATAGGAAAAGAACTATATCCATCTTCTCTTTGCCAGCTGCCTGGAGAAGTCTGGCTGGCCAGAGAAGTGAAATGCTGGCCTACAACAGCCTGGCCCTCATCGTGCAGGGATTTTTCTTGTGTTTTTTTTTAATTTATTAGATCAAATGGCTCACCTCACAGCCCCTGTAAAAATGCCATTTCTGGGAATGTGAAAGGGACAAATTAATCAAGGTCTGTTTTAAATAGGAGACCATTAGGATGTAGAACAGGGTTACCCATGGATGTCAGATAAAAAACAGATATGAACAGAAAAGACTAAAAGGCAGATTTGTTCCTGATACTCAGTTTTGCACCTGCCATTATTCCTCTCTCTTTCACCGTGTAACTACAGCACAGAGATAGAAGCCTGTGTCACTCGCCTGAGGATTTAACAGTTCTACACGCAATTCCCTCTTACGTGGATTTGTACTCGTTGATCCTTGTCCTTTCAGTCGATCCTTCAATTCATCTGGAATATCCTCAAGTGTTGTAGTACCAGTGGGGAGGTAACCAAGGACTTTCAGTTCTGTCTTCCCAGGTAATTGGCGATACAAATAAATATAGTAGGTTGTTTCATCCACAGAACAGCTGAAGGAAATACCAGTAGGGTCCCTGGTTGAGACACTGACAAAGCTTGGAGTCTGGATCACTGTCAAGGCAGAGCCACTGCCCACAAATGCTGAAGAAAGAGAAAGAAAAAGGCGACATCAACTGGGGATCCTAGAGTGGAGCCCAGGAGACTCTGGAAGAATTAGGTCAAGGGAGGACCTAATGAAATATGGAGGGAAATGGGGCTCTGATGAAGAAAGGGGTCCAGGCCCCTTTCAGGGCACTTACTGCACCAGAAGGCCAGGAGGGCATGGAAGAAGCGGAGTCCAAGGAGCCCAGAGCAGGAGTGGAGAGGTGCTGCAGCCATCTCAGCCTGGGGCTGCTACTGCAGCAGCTGGGAAGAGATCAGAAGCTGTATGGTTTCCGGTCACGTGCTGGCAATGTGGCTGCAAGGGCGGAATGGCCTGGGCCCTGGTGGTGGGAACCGGATGCTCAGTCACCCTTTAGACCTTTGCTTCTGAGCTTACAAAGGAAAAAGAGCAAGGCCTGGGCAGAAACGGGGCTCCCGTTTGCCTTCTATGTGTGCGTTTGTGTGTGGAGGGTTTCTGCTGATTAGAAATAGAAGCTGCTGGAGAGGGGCTGGTTTGCTGAACCTGCTGGCTTGGCTATAAACACTTTTAAGGGCAAAGTCACTCATACTTTCCGTTGTTCCATCAAAAGTGATGGCTCTATATACCCAGCCAAAAGCCATTGGCTTATTTCAATTGGCTTTGAATGCAGCTCTAAATGCCCTTATTCTGGACCATATCTGCCTGTCAGTAACTATGTTTCTAGTTCTTAAGGCTAGATAAGATTGGAGATGTACAACTGATGGCTGCGAAATCTCAGAAGAGTTTGGAGGGTCAGAGAGATTTTAGGACAGTTCTAATGTTTGTTCCTTTCCAGGAGAGCACCATCAAAAAGGTAGATGACATTGAGAGATTGAAGCTGCTGCTCCTCTTGATACGTGCAAAATATGCACATTAAAAGGAGGAAGGATTTCAATTGCTGGGTGGCATCCACCATTTTCATACTGCTGTCTCCCATCTGTGGACACCCTGTGCTTATTTTCAGCAATTATTTCAGATTTCAAAGTACAGAAGTTTTTGGTAACCGTGTTTTGTCAGAGGTGCATTGCTTTCCACTGTGAACTCTAAATGTCTTTCAATGCTTACAATATTTCTTTGTGGCTTTGATGGGACTACATCACCCATAACCCCTTGTGAAAGCTAATGTTGTGCCACAGTAAATAGGAATGCTCCCAACTTATATATAAATCACTGTACAGTGAAAATAATTTATATTCCCCAAGATGAACTGGGGGAAAGGGCGTGGTCCCATTGTCTTTCATCCCAATTCATCTTATTTTTTTTGCCCATTTTTATACACTTTTCTTGGTGACAGTACAAAAAGGGTTGCCTTTTTCTGGTTTTAGTCAAACAACCATTTTACCAGAGAGACTCTACTGTCCTTTGTAAAGCAATGTTACCTCTAGGTTAGGGGCACCAAGTCTTCAAGTTCCAGTTATAGGAAAAGAACTATATCCATCTTCTCTTTGCCAGCTGCCTGGAGAAGTCTGGCTGGCCAGAGAAGTGAAATGCTGGCCTACAACAGCCTGGCCCTCATCATGCAGGGATTTTTCTTGTAGTTTTTTTTCTTAAATTTATTAGATCAAATGGCTCACCTCACAGCCCCTGTAAAAATGCCATTTCTGGGAATCTGAAAGGCATAAATTAATCAAGGTCTGTTTTAAATAGGAGACCATTAGGATGTAGAACAGGGTTACCCATGGATGTCAGATAAAAAATGGATATGAATAGAAAAGACTAAAAGGCAGATTTGTTCCTGATACTCAGTTTTGCACCTGCCACTATTCATCTCTCTTTCACCGTGTAACTCCAGCACAGAGATAGAAGCCTGTGTCACTCGCCTGAGGATTTAACAGTTCTACACGCAATTCCCTCTTACGTGGATTTGTACTTGTTGATCCTTGTCCTTTCAGTCGATCCTTCAATTCATCTGGAATATCATCAAGTGTTGTACTACTACCAGTGGGGAGGTACCCGAGGACTTTCAGTTCTGTCTTCCCAGGCAGTTGGCGATACAAAAATATCCTGTAGCTTGTATCATCCACAGAGCAACTGAAGGAAATACCAGTAGGGTCCGTGGTTGAGACATTGACAAAGCTTGGAGTCTGGATCACTGTCAGGGCAGAGCCACTGCCCACAAATGCTGAAGAAAGGGAAAGAAAAAGGCGACATCAATTGGGGATCCTAGAGTGGAGCCCAGGAGACTCTGGAAAAATTAGGTCAAGGGAGGACAGTGAAATATGGAGGGAAATGGGGCTCTGATGAAGGAAGGGGTTCAGGCCCCTTTCAGGACACTTACTGCACCAGAAGGCCAGGAGGGCATGGAAGAAGAGGGGTCCAGGGAGCCCAGAGTAGGAGTGAAGAAGTGGTGCAGCCATCTGAGCCTGGGACTCCTACTGCAGCAGCTGGGAAGAGAACAGAAGGTGTATGGTTTCCGGTCACGTGCTGGCAATGTGGCTGCAAGGGTGGAATGGCCTGGGCCCTGGTGGTGGGAACCGGATGCTCAGTCACCCTTCAGACCTTTGCTTCTGAGCTCACAAAGGAAAAAGAGCAGGGCCTGGGCAGAAACGGGGCTCCCGTTTGCCGTGTGTGTGTGTGTGTGTGTGTGTGTGTGTGTGTGTGTGTGTGTAGGGTTTCTGCTGCTTAGAAATAGAAGCTGCCGGAAAAGGGCCAGTTTGCTGCACCTGCTGGCTTGGCTATAAATACTTTTAAGGGCAAAGTCATTCATACTTTCAGTTGTTCCTTCAAATGTGATGGCTCTATATACCCAGCCAAAAGCCATTGGCTGATTTCAATTGGCTTTGAATGCAGCTCTAAATGCCCTTATCCTGGACCATCTTTGCCTATCAGTAACTATGTTTCTAGTTCTTAAGACTAGTTAAGGTTGGAGATGTACAACTGATGGCTGCGAAATCTCAGAAGAGTTTGGAGGGTCAGAGAGATTTTAGCCCATATAGGCAGTCCTAGTGTTTGTTCCTTTCCAGGACTCCCCAAAACCAGACTCCTGTTGTGTGAAGGAGGGCACCATCAAAAAGGTAGATAACATTGAGAAATTGAAGCTGCTTCTCTTTTTGATATGTGCAAAATATGCACATTAAAAAGGGGAAAGGATTTCAATTGCTGGGTTGCATACACCATTTTCACACTGCTGACACCCATCTGTGGATACCCTTGTGTACCTGTGCTTATTTTCAGCAATTATTTCAGATTTCAAAGTACAGAACTTTTTGACACTTTTTGTCAGAAGTGCATCACTTTCCACCTGTGAAATCTAAATGTCTTTCAATGCTTACAACATTTCTTTGTGTCTTTGATGGGACTACATCACCCATAACCCCTTGTGAAAGCTAATGTTGTGCCACAGTAAATAGGAATGCTCCCAACTTATATATAAATCAATGTACAGTGAAAATAATTTATATTCCCCAAAATGAACTTGGGGGAAAGGGCGTGGTCCCATTGTCTTTCATCCCAATTCATCTTATTTTTTTTTTTTGCCCATTTTTATACACTTTTCTTGGTGACAGTACAAAAAGGATTGCCTTTTTCTGGTTTTAGTCAAACCTCTCAACCATTTTACCAGAGAGACTCTACTGTCCTTTGTAAAATAATGTTACCTCTAAGTTAGGGGCACCAAGTCTCCAAGTTCCAGTTATAGGAAAAGAACTATATCCATCTTCTCTTTGTCAGCTGCCTGGAGAAGTCTGGCTGGCCAGAGAAGTGAAATGCTGGCCTACAACAGCCTGGCCCTCATCATGCAGGGCTTTTTCTTGTAGTTTTTTTTCTTAAATTTATTAGATCAAATGGCTCACCTCACAGCCCCTGTAAAAATGCCATTTCTGGGAATCTGAAAGGCATAAATTAATCAAGGTCTGTTTCAAATAGGAGACTATTAGGATGTAGAACAGGATTACCCATGGATGTCAGATAAAAAAACAGATATGAATAGAAAAGACTAAAAGGCAGATTTGTTCCTGATACTCAATTTTGCACCTGCCACTATTCCTCTCTCTTTCACCGTGTACACTGCAGCACAGAGATAGAAGCTTGTGTCACTCGCCTGAGGATTTAACAGTTCTAAACGAAATCCCCTCTTAGGTGGATTTGTGCTCTTTGATGCTTGTCCTTTCAGTCGATTCTTCAATTCATCTGGAATATCATCAAGTGTTGTACTACCAGTGGGGAGGTACCCGAGGACTTTCAGTTCTGTCTTCCCAGGCAATTGGTGATACAAAAAAATGTTGTAGCTTGTATCATCCATAGAGCAACTGAAGGAAATATCAGTAGGGTCCCTGGTTGAGACACTGACAAAGCTTGGAGTCTGGATCACTGTCAGGGCAGAGCCACTGCCCACAAATGCTGAAGAAAGAGAAAGAAAAAGGCGACATCAACTGGGGATCCTAGAGTGGAGCCCAGGAGACTCTGGAAGAATTAGGTCAAGGGAGGACCTAATGAAATATGGAGGGAAATGGGGCTCTGATGAAGGAAGGGGTCCAGGCCCCTTTCAGGGCACTTACTGCACCAGAAGCCCAGGAGGACATGGAAGAAGCAGAGTCCAGGGCGCCCAGGGCAGGAGTGGAGAGGTGCTGCAGCCATCTCAGCCTGGGGCTGCTGCTGAAGCAACTGGAAAGAGATCAGAAGCTGCTGGGTTTCCGGTCACGTGCTGGCAATGTGGCTGCAAGGGCGGAATGGCCTGGGCCCTGGTGGTGGGAACCGGATGCTCAGACACTTTAAACCTTTGCTTCTGAGCTCACAAAGGAAAAAGAGCGGGGCCTGGGCAGAAATGGGGGCTCCCGTTTGCCTTTTGTCTGTGTGTGCGTGTGTGTGTGTGTGTGTGTGTGGAGGGTTTCTGCTGCTTAGAAATAGAAGCTGCTGGAGAGGGTTTCCGGTCACATGCTGGCAATGTGGCTGCAAGGGCAGACTAGCCTGCGCCCTGGTGGTGGGAACCGGATACCCACCCACCCCCTGCCCACCTGAGGCCTTTGCTCCTGAGCTCAGGGAGGAAAAAAGAGCAGAGGCTGGGCAGAAATGGGGGGCCCGCATTTGCTTTCTTGTGGGAGAGGGGTGTTCTGCTACTTAGAAAAAGAAACTGCTGGAGAAGGGCTGGTTTGCTGCATCTGCTGGTTTGCTATAAATAGCTTCTCTTGTATTAATAGCTTGACAATGGAGAGGCATTAGCTTAGCTTGAAAAATTCAATATGCTGTTTTTTCACTAGCAGTGTTTCTAGTCCTTAAGCTTACAGAGAAAGAATTACAAATATGTGAGAGTTTAGAAGATTATAAAAGTGTATAGAATACCCCATGATTCTGGTGTTCTGCATAACACTAATTTTCGCCCTTTTCAGGGCTAACAACAATAGCATGAAGAAATATGCTTGATTTGTTGATTTATAGTTTGGTACAAGAACTATACCTTCTTTGCACATAGCTGCTGTTCCAGCTAAGGTGGAAGAGTAGATAAATTAAATTTAGAAGCATGAGAGCAAATCCTTATTCAGTCATGTGGTTTGTATGGTGGCCTTAGGCTGTCAACACCCTTTACAAAAATTAAAGGGAAAAGATGAGATATATCACAAAGATAATTCCAGACTTTTTATCTGAATAGCATTCATCAGGATATAATTTATTCAAAAGAAACAGACCTACCTGTAGGGTTTGCATTATATGTAAAGAATTACTACACCTGTGTGAAAATTCATGTGATCAAAATTCTGTTGAAGGGGCCTGGATGGAAATAAAGAAAGGGAAAAGAACCTAATTATAAACGAAACTTGTGAGAGGATATTACAGTGAAGGAGATGACCAGGCTGAAGCGGAGTGAGGGGATAAATGCATCATCAGTCTTGAGTCTCTTCACACCCACAAGAGATCTAAGGCTAGCTTACCTTGAATTCCTTCTACTCTTATCTCTGACTAATTTCAGATTCTTGTAGAGAGCTTAAGTCAGGGGTCTTCAAACTTGGCCCTTTTATGACTTGTGGACTTGAACTCCCAGAATTCCTCAGCCAGTGTCATAAAAAGGCCAAGTTTGAAGGCCCCTGGCTTAAGCTTACAATAAATCTTTATATCCATTTGAGCTGTATTTTCCTGACATTTGACATACAGGTCATGTATCAAGCCAAAGAGATAAATGAAAATTTGTCAATCAGACCAGCAAGGAATCCAGGAATCATTGCTGTCATAGTGAGAGAATTCAACTATCCCAGCATCACCTGGAAAGCAAACTCTTTGATGCAGCCAAGGAAGGAGGCCAACAGGTTCTTGATGTGTCTTACGAACAAACATTGTTGTCCAAAAGGTACTTGAGGGAATTAGAGGATCAGTTACATTGGATTCAAGATTTAGTAACATGGAAGAAAGAACTGAAAAAATGAAAATTGTAGGAGTAGAGACTGACCATGTAATTCTAAAATTTACTATATTTCAGGCAGGGATAACTGAAGGCAAATTAGCGGTCTATATTTCCAGAGAGCAGATTTCAATAAGCTAAGGGGAAAAATAGAAACAATACCATTGATGGAAATCCTGAAGGGGAAATAATCAAGGCTAAGGCTAAGAATGAAGTAAGGCTTACAATAAATGCTCTGAATAAGAAATAACAACAACCACAATAAAGCATTTTGGGGTATATGTGGAACAAAGAAAATCAAGGAAACAATCAGTTTTTGCTTATTGGAAAAGAGGGCAAGATGATAATGTACAACAAGAAATTTAAACTTCATAATTCCTATTTTGCAACTGTCTTTTTACAAAAGAAAAAGCTGATTCAGCCTGTCAGAAGCCATATTGTGTGTTGCAGGGTAGAAAAAGATGCTGTGTGAGGTCATCCGATGGTTCAGTGTGAGTTATTACCAGTATACTGATGATATCTAGCTTTATAGCTCCACCTCAGACCTTCTGTGTAATGTCAAAAGCCATAGTGTAATGTCATGGAGGTCTCGTTTTACTGCCTGGAAGATCTGGGCGTCTAGATCTTGTGGGGGGAGGAGGGGGGAACTAGGGACCTTCCATCTTTTTTTCTGGATACAATTTTTACCCCTCCAGATAGAACCTATGTACAATTTGGGGTTGTCCTGGCCTTGAGGCTTCTGTAAAAATGGTAAAGGTGTGTAAGTAAATATTGATAAGCAAATGGTGCAGGACAGCACATTTGATTGGTCTACTTGTAAACAAAGTAGTCTTTGTGGAGAGATTGCTGATTACAAAACACCTACTTTTGAAAGGGCCTGCTGGCAAGTGTATTCATTCCTCTGTCTCCTAGTCATGCCCAGGAGACCTCTCTCTCTCTCTCTCTCTCTCTCTCTCTCTCTCTCTCTCTCTCTCTCTCTCTCTCTCACCTCACACACACACACACACACACACGCACACTGCTTCAGCTTTCCACCATTTTGCAATTTGAATTATTATTTAATTGAAAACATATTTTTAAAGCAAGGTGCACAAGGAAACTGCTAAGCACTTGGAGCACAGTAATGTGCACAGGTATCTTACTCTTGAGGTAAAAAAAAAACATGCTAAGAGCTACTGAAAAAGATTTTCCTGTAGGGGCTCCTTAGGTATAACAGCCCTTTACCTCTCCCTTAGTATTCTGAACTGTCAATATCATTGCTCATAATTGACCTCGGCAGCGGTGACAGCAGAGAAGGCCCATTACCCATCTCTTATCTAGACAATTTCCGGCTCAGCCTTGCAAATGCTGCTCTTCACCTTTGGCTGAATTCCTGAATGCAGCAGGCCAAACTTACCACATGTTGAAGTAAAGCACATTATACACATTACTATGTGCATTAACTTATTCCAGCCTGGTGTCTTGGATTTCAGCCCCATAATCTGCAGCCAGTAGGATCTAAGCCTGTACTGGGTACAGATATGACACTGAAGTTCAAGCCATCTGAAGGACATCTATTGGCAGAAGAGCATGTGGCTGTACATGTGCACACATAAAACCAAAAAGCTCACAGATGAAAATGTTCTAACTGGGCCACTTCTGCTATGTTTTGGGCATCATTATACACTGCACCCTTCATTCCACAGACTGCTATCACTCTATCAAGTGGGGTTAACAGGGAATGAACTCAGTTGTTCTGGCCTGGCTGTGCTCTACACCTGTCTACTTGACATACAATGGAGATCAGTCTGGATAACATTCCCACTTTATATTTTCAGAAACAACAGATCAATTATTCTTTATTTGTTCATCCAAGCAGTTTTAAGAGCAATCCTAGGTGAGCCAGGAAATACTGAAGCATTTATTAAAGCCTAACTTCAGAATCTGCACCTTTATTTTCAGAAGATCATCAAGGGACATCTACACAACTCCCTTATTTTGTCTCAACGATGCCTTGTAAATTCTTGGAAGGATATGTCTTTTAGCCCAGCATATTGCTGAAACCTATTTCTTTATTTTCTGATTTCATGCAGAAATAATGCTCTCTATCTTCTTCCAGCATAAGCCTCGCTGAATGCCTGATAGGTGACACTTCTGCCATGAATCCAGCAAGGGCTTTGCCCGGCTCTTACTGATTTCTGTTGCTGCTGTGGGCATGCCTTTGGAAACCAAGCTCTCTCCCCTGCCTGCCTTAAATGTTAACATCCTGATTTTAACCTCAGCAGCTTCTTTCCTACTCCCTAAAACTTGCTTTATTTTCACCTTACCAGATGAAGAATTCTGACTCTCTTGAAACACTATGGACTAGTTTGTAATCTGTGAGGTTTCTTAATAAAAGTATAGCCATAAAACGATTTGAGGATTTTTATTTCTGAAGGCCAACTAGGTTACTAAATCATTTTTGGTATGATTCACATGAATTCACTGATGGTGTACAGCAGCACATCACAATTGTATGTGCTTTAAAAACAATCCCAAAAGGTCCATATCAAAGCCAAACTGAGCTAAATGATGCAAGCAAAAGGAAAGAAGCACTTTTTCAACCTACTGGTCATCTGGCTCACAAACAAAATGCAAAAAGCTGTATTTTGTTGCAAAAAACATTGCATGCACTTTGATTAATGCAAGGTTTGTGCACCACTGTGTGCATTAGGATGAAAACACCCAGAATTCCCAGTAAAGATGCCAAAGATCTTACCAGGTAGAAAATTCTGGAATATCATGGTGCAAATCCAACAACCCCAGAAGATACATAATTGGGAAAGTTACAGTATAAGAGATTTACTGTGGGGGGATTTTGTTTTTTCATCTATGCTGCCTTATCTTTCAACACCTGTTTCTGCAATGATCTTTGTGGTTTTGAGATCAGCTCCCAACACCATGAGCACTCACGTTTGCTCTACAGACAGCTCCGAGCAATTGCTTCAGCTCAGCTTTGTGGTTTTACTTGTTTTGACAAGTTAAGTGAAAATAAAGTCTAATTCAGTGTGTGCTTTCAGAAGTAGGTTAGAATGTATGCAAAGGGGACTTTAAAATCCATTTGTTTTCTGGTTGAAGATTGGCCTTAAAAATATGAACCAGAAATCCTGCCTCACATTTTCCTCTAATTCACTGGGCCCTTTTAGATCACTGGGAAGCAACTTATGGACAGCCAGAGGGGCAAACAATGTTATATTAGGCAGCCAGGGCAGAAAATGCTAACAATAACATCCTGATGTTAAGCAAGTATGCTTACAACAGTTCATTCAGTGACCATTCAAAGTTACAACAGTACTGAAAAAAGTGACATGACCATTTTCCTGCAACCATTGCAGCATCTCCATGGTCACATGATAAAAATTTGGATGCTTGGCAAGCGATTCATATTTATA